CAACCTCTGAAGAGACAACTAACACAACACCTGTACCCCCTATTAGACTATTTTACAGGAACTTCTTTTCCACAGCTCATAAAACGGAGGAAAGGGTCCTGAAAAATATTGTTAATAGAAACGTTATCCCTACAGACAAAAATCAGAAGATACAATTGATGATCTACTATAAAACCAAGAAAACGGCCAACCTACTCATGAGAAACTCTCCAGACACAAAGCAGAACGCTTTAAAAGAGACCAATGTCGTATATGCCTTCAAATGCCCACTTAGGGACTGTAAGCCTCAAAGAACTCAGTATATAGGCAAGACAACAACATCTCTTTCCAGGCGATTAACGATGCATAAGCAACAGGGCTCCATTAAGGAACATATAATCTCTTCCCACAACCAGACCATCACCAGAGAAGTCTTAACAAAAAATACGGAAATCATCGATAGATACAGGGATAGCAGGCGGCTAGATATCTGTGAGGCACTACACATTAAGAAGTCGACACCAGCAATCAACAGCCAATTAATGCACAACTATATTCTACCCACTTCAAGACTCCGCACCAATACAGAAGCATCAAGAAATATTGGCCAATAGGCCCTTTGCAGTTACTTCCATTCTTCCCTTTAACTTACAAAATATTATACCCATTGTTTCGTGTTCTGTCTTGTGTTGAAAGTTTGTTTTCACCTCATCCAAAACTGTTGTAACATATCATCTCACCCAAATGCAGGTATAAAATCGAAAATGTTTAAGCTCTATTCAGTTATAAGTTGTGTGGGTAAACTAAAGTCTTTGAAAATGTAATAAGTTTTATGAAACGCGCTCAAGTGTCGCATCAGACTAGAAATAAAAATGAATTATGGAGAATTGATTTTTCAGTTGCCATCAACAGTGAAGAAAAATATAAGAAACATTGAGAAAATTCGTGTTAGAATTGTTAATCTTACTTTTTCGGTCATATTTAATAATATATATATATATATATATATATATATATATATATATATATATATATATATATATATATATATATATATACATATTTATATATATATATATATATATATATATATATATATATATATATATATATATATATATATATATATATATATATATATATATATATATATATACATATTTATATATATATATATATATATATATATATATATATATATATATATATATATATATATATATATATATATATATATATATATATTTTGGTAGCAGTCTTTCCTGTAGACATATATTATTAAATATGACCGAAAAAGTAAGATTAATAATTCTAACACGAATTTTCTCAATCTTTCGTACATTTCTTTTCACTGTTGGAGGTAAATCAAAAATCAATTCTCCAAAATTCATTTTTATTTCTAGTCTGACGCGACACGAGCGCGTTTCGTAAAACTTATTACATTTTCAAAGACTTTAGTTCACAAATACACAACTGAATAGAACTTACGCATCTCCAATTTTATATCTACATTTGAGTGAGGTGGAAGGGGTGATGTGGCATTAACACAAGACAGAACAAGATGTGGCATTTATAGGGTATTAATTTCATCAACACAAGACAGAACAAGAGTATTAATAGGGTATTAATTTCATCAACACAAGACAGAACACGAAACAATGGATATTGAAGAGAAGTGTTTGTAGAAAGCCTATTAGTCCATATTTCTTGATGCTTCTATATTGGAGCGGAGTCTTGAGGTGGGTAGAATATAGTTGGGTTTATTCTACCCACCAACCTTGTGGTGGGTAGAATATATATATATATATATATATATATATATATATATATATATATATATATATATATATATATATATATATATATATATATATGTCGTACCTAGTAACCAGAACGCACTTCTCAGCCTACTATGCAAGGCCCGATTTGCCTAATAAGTCAAGTTTTCCTGAATTAATATATTTTCTCTATTTTTTTCTTATGAAATGATACAGCTACCCATTTCAGTATGTATGTGGTCAATTTTTTTTTTTTAGTTAAAATTAAGGTAGATATATGACCGAACCTAACCAACCCTACCTAACCTAACCTAACCTATCTTTATAAGTTAGGTTAGGTTAGGTAGCCGAAAATGTTAGGTTAGGTAGTCGAAAAAGCATTAGTTCATGAAAACTTGGCTTATTAGGCAAATCGGGCCTTGCATAGTAGGCTGAGAAGTGCGTTCTGGCTTCTAGGTACGACATATATATATATATATATATATATATATATATATATATATATATATATATATATATATATATATATATATATATATACACATAAATATGATATAAGTAGAATACAGGACCCTGTATTCCACTTATGCCAGACCAATCCTGGAATATGCAGCTCCAGCTTGGATTCCATACCTAGTTAAACAAAAGGGGAGGGGAGCTTTGGGGAGCCGGTGGCCGAGCGGACAGCACGCTGGGCACGTGATCCTTTGGTCCCGGGTTCGATTCCGGGCGCCGGGGAGAAACGATGGGCAGAGTTTCTTTCACCCTATGCCCCTGTTACCTTTCAGTAAATAGGTACCTGGGAGCTAGTCAGCTGTCACAGGCTGCTTCCTGGTGTTCTCACCTATACTCACCTATTTGTGCTTGCGGGGGTTGAGCTTTGGCTCTTTGGTCTCGCCTCTCAACTGTCAATCAACTGGTGTACAAATTCCTGAGCCTATTGGGCTCTATCATATCTACATTTAAAACTGTGTATGGAGTCAGCCTCCACCACATCACTGCCTAATGTATTCCATCCGTTAACTACTCTGACACTAAAAAAGTTCCTTCAAACGTCCCTGTGGCTCATGTGGGTATTCAGTTTCCACCTGTGTCCCCTTGTTCGCGTCCCACCAGTGTTGAATAGTTTATCTTTGTTTACCCGGTCGATTCCCCTGAGGATTTTGTAGGTTGTGATGTTTCCCCTTACTTTTCTGTCTTCCAGTGTCGTAAGGTGCATTTCCCGCAGCCTTTCCTCGTAACTCATGCCTCTTAGTTCTGGGACTAGTGTAGTGGCATACCTTTGGACTTTTTCCAGCTTCGTCTTGTGCTTGACAAGGTACGGTCTCCATGCTGAGGCCGCATACTCCAAGATTGGTCTTACATATGTGGTGTACAAGATTCAGAATGATTCCTTACACAGGTTCTTGAATGCTGTTCTGATTTTAGCCAGCCTCGCATATGCCGCAGACGCTATTCTTCAGGAGACAGGTTTCGTGTGATATCAACTCCTAGATCTTTCTCTCTGTCCGTTTCATTAAGTACTTCATCTCCTATTCTGTATCCTGTGTCTGGTCTCCTGTTTCCACTGCCTAGTTTCATTACTTTGCATTTACTCGGGTTGAACTTCACCAGCCATTTGTTGGACCATTCACTCAGTCTGTCTAGGTCATCTTGTACACTCCTACTATCATCCTCAGTTTCAATCCTCCTCATAATTTTTGCATCATCCTCAAACATTGAGAGAAACGATACTATACCCTCTGGGAGATCATTTACATATATCAGAAACGGTATAAGTCCAAGGACTGACCCTTGCGGGACTCCACTCGTAACGTCTCGCCAATCTGAGACCTCACCCCTCACACTGACTCGTTGTCTCCTGTTGCTTAGGTACTCCTTTATCCAATGGAGTACCTTCCCTTTCACTCCAGCCTGCATCTCCAGCTTTTTCACCAGCCTCTTGTGTGGCACTTTATCAAAGGCTTTCTGACAATCCAAAAAATATGCAGTCTGCCCACCCTTCTCTTTCTTGCCTTATTTTTGTTGCCTGGTAGAATTCAAGTAACCCTGTAAGGCAGGACCTGCCATCCCTGAGCCCATGTTGATGCTGTGTTACAAAGTTCTTTCGCTCCAGATGCTCCACTAGCTTTCTTCGCACAATCTTCTCCATCAGCTTGCATGGTATGCAGGTTAGGGACACCGGCCTGTAATTCAGTGCCTCCTGTCTATCCCCATTCTTTTATATCGGGACTACGTTAGCTGCTTTCAAATTTCTGGCAGTTCCCCTGTTGCCAGTGATTTGTTATACACTATGGAGAGTGGCAGGCACAGTTCTTCTGCTCCTTCCTTTAGTATCTTAGGGGAGATTCCATCTGGGCCTATAGCCTTTGTCACATCCAACTCTAGTAAACACTTCCTAACTTCCCCGCTGGTAATCTCAAACTCTTCCAGTGGTTCCTGGTTAGTTATTCCCTCTCTTATCTCTGGTGTGTATGTGTGTGTGTGTGTGTGTGTGTGTGTGTGTGTGTGTGTGTGTAGATGTGTGTGTGTGCGTGCGTGCGTGTGTGTGCGTGTGTGTGTGTGTGTGTGTGTGTGTGTGTGTGCGTGCGTGCGTGTGTGTGTGTGTGTGTGTGTGTGTGTGTGTGTGTGTGTGTGATGTGGAGAAAAAAAGTAGAAGTAGTATTAATAGAAACAGTTGATTGACAGTTGAGAGGCGGGCCGAAAGAGCAGAGCTCAACCCCCGCAAGCACATCTAGGTGAATAAAACAAGATGAATACAAGACGAAGTTAGAGAAGATTCAGAGGTATGCCACCAGACTAGTCCAGGAACTAAGAGGTATGAGCTACGAGGAAAGGCTAAAGGAGCTGAACCTCACATCCCTGGAAAACAGAAGAGCAAGGGGAGACATGATAACCACCTACAAAATTCTCAGGGGAAATGACAGGGTGGACAAAGACAAAGTCTTTAGCATGAGCGGGACACGAACAAGCGGACACAAGTGAAAACTTAGTGCCCAAATGAGCCACAGAGACATTAGAGAGAATTTATTCTGAGTCAGAGATGTTAACAGAAGGAATGCATTAGGCAGTGATGTGGTGGAGGCTGACTCCATACACAGATTCAAATGTAGATATGATAGAGCCCAGTAGGCTCAGAAATCTGTACACCAGTTGCTTGACGGATGAGAGGCGGGACCAACGAGCCAGAGCTCACCCCCGTAAGCACAACTAGATAATTATAACAACTAGGCGAGTACGTACACTGCGCAGTCCGGGGCGAGAACCGTCCGAGACGGGAGCTGGGAGTTGACTGGCCCGGCGAGAGGGTGTTGTTTTATGGTCCGCTGCTGGGCACAACAGGGTCCACGTAGCGCGGGTTATGGCGAGCCGTTGTGGACATGACGCTGCTAGAATGGTGAGGCGGGGGTTAGCCTCCCATGGGGTCAGGGGGATGGGGCGGGGGTTATATAGCCTCACATGGGGTGGGGGTTATATAGCCTCACATGGGGTCAGGGGGATGGGGTGGGGGTTATATAGCCTCACATGGGGTCAGGTCATGGGGCGGGGGTTATATAGCCTCACATGGGGTCAGAGCATGGGGTGGGGGTTATATAGCCTCACATGGGGTCAGGGGGATGGGGTGGGGGTTATATAGCCTCACATGGGGTCAGGTCATGGGGCGGGGGTTATATAGCCTCACATGGGGTCAGAACATGGGGTGGGGGTTATATAGCCTCACATGGGGTCAGGGGGATGGTGTGGGGGTTATATAGCCTCACATGGGGTCAGGTCATGGGGCGGGGGTTATATAGCCTCACATGGGGTCAGAGCATGGGGCTGGGGGTTATATAGCCTCACATGGGGTCAGGGGGATGGGGTGGGGGTTATATAGCCTCACATGGGGTCATTGCATGGGACGGGGGTTATATAGCCTCACATGGGGTCAGGGCATGGGGCGGGGGTTATATAGCCTCCCATGGGGTCAGGGGGATGGGGCGGGGGTTATATAGCCTCACATGGGGTCAGAGCATAGGGCGGGGGTTATATAGCCTCACATGGGGTCAGGTCATGGGGTGGGGGTTATATAGCCTCACATGGGGTCAGGGCATGGGGTGGGGGTTATAGAGCCTCACATGGGGTCAGGTCATGGGGCGGGGGTTATATAGCCTCACATGGGGGTCAGAGCATGGGGCGGGGGGTTATATAGCCTCACATGGGGTCAGGGGGGATGGGGCGGGGGGTTATATAGCCTCACATGGGGTCAGGGGGGATGGGGCGGGGGTTATATAGCCTCACATGGGGTCAGAGAATGAGGTGGGGGTTATATAACCTCACATGGGGTCAGATCATGAGGCGGGGGTTATATAGCCTCACATGGGGTCAGATCATGAGGCGGGGGTTATATAGCCTCACATGGGGTCAGATCATTAGGCGGGGGTTATATAGCCTCACATGGGGTCTGGTCATGGGGTGGGGGTTATACAGCCTCGTTATATAAACACACACCTCGTTTCGAGGTTCGAAACGTTGTGCAAATTGTATAAATAAGTGAAATACATTCTATATAATTCACTTTTTTCTTCACCTTGAAATTACGGAAATGAGTTTTGGAGAACTCCTCTTTCAGCTAAGCCCTGATGCTAGGAAAATAGTTAGAGGGATAGAAGTCCTAAATCAGAAGATAGTAAATACAAAATATGCGGTCATATTCAATAAGACACACACACACACACATATATATATATATATATATATATATATATATATATATATATATATATATATATATATATATATATATATATATATATATATATATATATATATATATATATATATATATATATATATATATATATATATATATATATATGAGTCTATGATATGGTCAAGCGGATTAAGGCGCCCTGTAGTTACCAGTTGCGTTGCTCCTGGGAGTATGGGTTCGAGTCACTTCTGGGGTGTGAGTTTTCAGTCGCATATAGTCCTGGGGACCATTCAGGCTTATACCATATATATATATATATATATATATATATATATATATATATATATATATATATATATATATATATATATATATATATATATATGTGTGTGTGTGGGAAGCTGCCCTTTCTAGATGTAACAGTCATGGAAAAGAGCGTAGGTTTCCACACTGCAGTCTACACTAAGGAAACGAACATAGGAATGTGCCTAAATGCCAACAGCGACTGCCCAGACAGGTACAAGAGGAGTGTTGTTAACGCTTATGTCGACCGTGCTCTCAGCCACAGCTCAGAATTGAAGCAAGTCGACGAAGAACTCTGTAGGGTAAGGCAGGTCCTAGTCAACAACGGCTTCTCCAATGGTTTCGTCGAAGACATCATAAGAAGGAAAGTGAAACGCCATGCAACCTCTGAAGAGACAACTAACACAACACCTATACCCCCTATTAGACTATTTTACAGGAACTTCTTTTCCACAGCTCATAAAACGGAGGAAAGGGTCCTGAAAGATATTGTTAATAGAAACGTTATCCCTACAGACAAAAATCAGAGGATACAACTGACGATTTACTATAAAACCATAAAAACGGCCAGCCTACTCATGAGAAACTCTCAAGACACAAAGCAGAACGCTTTAAAAGAGACCAACGTCGTCTATGCCTTCAAATGCCCTCTTGGGGACTGTAAACTCCAAAAAAACAGTATATAGGCAAGACAACAACATCTCTTTCCAGGCGATTAACGATGCATAAGCAACAGGGCTCCATTAAGGAACATATAATCTCTTCCCACAACCAGACCATCACCAGAGAAGTCTTAACAAAAAATACGGAAATCATCGATAGATACAGCGATAGCAGGCGGCTTGACGTCTGCGAGGCACTACACATCAAGAAGTCAACACCAGCAATCAACAGCCAATTAATGCACAACTATATTCTACCCACCTCAAGACTCCGCTCCAATATAGAAGCATCAAGAAATATGGACCAATAGGCTTTCTACAATCACTTCCATTCAATACCCATTGTTTCGTGTTCTGTCTTGTGTTTAGGAATTTAATACCCTATTAATACCACCTCACCCCATCCACCTCATTTAAATGTAGATATAAACAAATCGAAGATGTGTAAGTTCTATTATGTGTAAACTAAAGTCTTTGAAAATGTAATAAGTTTTACGAAACGCGCTCAAGTGTCGCGTCAGACTAGAAATAAAAATGAATTTTGGAGAATTGATTTTTGAATTACCACCAACAGTGAAAAGAAACGTACGAAAGATCGAGAAAATTCGTGTTAGAATTATTAATCTTACTTTTTCGGTAATATTTAATAATATATATATGTGTGTATATATATATATATATATATATATATATATATATATATATAAATATATATATATATATATATATATATATATATATATATATATATATACATATATATATATATCACTAAGAACTCTTTGATCCAGCTAGGATTCGAACCCATGCCGTCCAGGATCAACCCTAAACGTACACAGTACCATGACCACCGCACCAATGATCGTCTTATGCAGAATAACCACATGTGAAAAATAGAAAATGCTTAACGCGTTTTCGGCTAATTCGCCTTCATCAGAGCAAAGTAGAATGAAGATAAGATTGCCGATCAACCTTTATATCCGCCTGGGCAGATCACCTGACCACCAAAAGTAAGTGGAGGAAAGGAATTATAAGAAAGAAGGTAACTGCAGAAGGCCTATTGGCCCATACAAGGCAGCTCCTATTAATATCTCCAAGTGCCATACGTGTTAAATGATTGCTATATTGTTTTGACGTGCTATATTGAGGCTTAAATAGGGATCCAACTTGTACATACCGGGGCTCACATTAAGGCTGTTGTTACAATGTTTGATCAGAGCAGACTCGATCACGTTTCGTTCAACAAAATCTTTACTTTTAACAATACATTTTGCCCCTGTGAAGTCGATAGAATGATTACATAAACTGGAATGTAAATACAATGCACTGGATTGCTGGGCTGTACGAATAGCATATGAATGCTGTTTTAAACGCGAGGAAAGAGATTTACCTGTCTGGCCGATGTAAACACATGCACACTCATTACAAGGGATGGAATACACACAACCTGCTACAGACGAGGGCGAGTTCTTAATTAACATGGACTTAACTGTATTATCATTTTTGAACACTAGATTAATATTAAGGTTCTTTAGGGCTGGGGCAAGATTTACAAGACAATCAGAATATGGTAATACCAACGAATTTTTCAGTTCTGGTTTAGACTTAGTAGTCTGTTTGTAGAAAGTCCTTTTTGCTTGGCCAAACGCAAGATCCAAGAACAATTTTGGGTATTTTAACTTCTTCCCAATTTAAAATATATTTGCTATTTCTTCATCGAAAAATTCCGGACTGCAAACTCTCAGTGCTCTGAGAAACATACCAGAAAAAACTGCCCGCTTGTCCTGAACATGATGATTTGAATAGAAATGTACATACGAGCACACATTGGTAGGTTTCCTATACACCTTGAATTTGAAACTTCTACCAATTCTATGAATCATGATGTCTAAAAAAGGCAGAACACCATTCACTTCGTTCTCAATTGTGAATTTAATTGACGGAACCAGCGAATTAATTTGATTGAGAAAATCAGTTTCGTCATGATTAACCGGCCACAGGCACAAAATATCGTCAACGTACCTGTACCAAAGCAAATTTGAGGGTAAAATCCTGGGAAGGATATTTGTTTCGAAACATTCCATGTACAGATTGCTCAAAACAGGGGAGAGGGGATTACCCATCGCCATACCAAATGTTTGTTTATAAAATGAATCATTAAAGCTGAAATAATCATCTTTAATGCACAATTTTATAAGTTCAATAATGGTGTTAGTAGGCAAAGTTAAATTATACCTTGGGAGTAGATCCCGTAAGAATGACAACAGATCATCAACAGGAACCCTAGTGAACAGAGCCGTTACATCAAAACTCACAAGTTTAAAATCATAATTTAATTTCAAACTAGACAACTTGTTAACCAAGGCCAAGTTGTTTGTTATGTGTGAGTTGGAAATGGAACCTACTACTGGAGACAAGACTTGGACAAGCCATTTGGAAAGTCTATATGCCACAGATCCAACAGAACTAATAATAGGTCTTGCAGGATTATTCGGTTTGTGTGTTTTAATAAGCCCATATAGATATGGGAGAGAAGGGGAACGACTTAAAAACTTAGGAATCAACTCCTTATCGTTCTTGAGCACGGTTTTAAGAGTTTTGTTGAAATGAGCAATAACTCTTTCAATAGGGTCACTATTAACAGGTAAGTAAGTGTCTCTGTCCTCCAATAACTGGTTCATTTTTTGGACATAGTCTTCTTTGTCCATGATGACAACA